TTGTTTGGGGGGTTTTTTCTATTTATTTTTTATTTTTTCATGTTGTTGCCTTTTACAAGGTATCTTGGTGGGCGCTCAGATTGTTAGATAACTGCACTGCAGGGGGCCTCTGTTGTCTGTGATTTCTTTTTGCAGCAAGACACTTTAGACACTAAGTACTACACATATTCTCTTTGCTTAACACTATGTCATGAGCCTGTATAAGTTTTCTTTTTATGCTTGTTTTTGGGTGCAGCAGGTTAAACATGATTTTCTAAATACAAGTACAGAACATCAGAGAGGTTTATAAACAACATACAATAAGAGTGAATTTGCCCTGGGATTGAAATATAGCCTTATTTTTGTTGTCTATACATAGGTGAGATAGAGACCTAAAGGAAAAGTCTCTTTGAGCAATTGTATAGGTTATAGAGTTCTGGATAAAAGCAGATCAACTTTTCAAAATCATATGGTGATTATTAACTGGAATATATGGCTTTCTATGCAGGATGCTTCTGACAGCAAAGATAATTCTGTGCATATGGGAATAACAGAATATTTATCTCTGAATTTCCTCCAGATATTGCACCTACATTTCAATTTTCAAGGGTTTGGCATGTGAAGTCTCTTCCAGAAGAGATTTTTTAATGAATCTGAATTTCAAGTGATTCCCTTAGTCCAGGAGAAAAATCAGGACAAAATCAGATTTTGTGTAATAACACATTCCTCGTTAATCTGGGAAAGTTGCGTAAAAGATTTATACTTTATCTGATGAAAGTAGCCTGGAAAAGTAGTTGCATGTTTTAGAAGTGACAATATACTATCCTAACAAGTATCACAGCACAGTTAATGAAGTTCATATAGAGCATTTCAAGTGGTATAAAACAGCAATGAAAGTTAAAATATAATTTGTATTGGAATTTTTTTTTTTGGCAACAGCATTCACTAAGTGCTGTGAACTAGCATTCACAAATGCTAGTCATAATGAGGAAGTTATATTCCTTTTTGAAAGTACTTCAAAAATTAATTTAGCAGGCCCTTGCAGAATGGCACTCCTATAGGCAGGCTTACTGAAACCTTGGGAGCATGAAGAGCACTAGATAATGTTCTGTTTGTGATATTTTTCTTCATTTCCAATATAGTGGAGACTGAACAAATTGCATTCTAGAGTAATTTAAAACCCTCTCCATCATAAGCTTCTGGGAAGAAGTTGATCTTGTATGATAAGAAATCTGAGCTGGTACCCTGCAATCCGTTAAAAAAGCAGTAGATTAAACAACAACAACAACAACAAAAAAGTGGTAGTGGCAGAACTTGTCCTCAGGTGCACTGGAGGGACTGGTAAGGCATCATGCATCTGCAAATGTGAGTAATGGAAGCTGCCATAGTACAGAAGTACAGAATGCAGAGGAGCAGAGGACAGGTAAAGCCCTCCAGCTGCCTCAGCTGTCCCTCATCAGCACCTCTCTGCCTTTTCCCTCAGCACTCCTTGAATGAAATCCCTGTGTTCTGTCAAGTTACTTCCTATAAGGGATGGGGCTTAACAGAGCAGCATTGTGTATCTGAGCTTCAGACTTATAGACTCTGAACAGTATCTCCAATTTTTTTGGACCAGGTTGACTACTTTTCCAAAGGATTCATAGTGGCACCTTTATGTCGTCTTAGTCATTCTTCAGCAAAACTGCATCACAGATTTGATCTTACTTTCCTTCTTTGATCCTTGGACATTTTACATCTAGTAATTGCTTTAAAATTAGAATACATTTAAAAATATATAATTCTACTTTGTATAAAGAGGACTTATCTATCTGGGTCTAAAATTTCAGCACAAATTAATATAATCTGTATCTGCATATCTTATCTGGTATATTGCTATAATAAATTGATTTCTAGAGCAAAGGGAAACAATCCTTTTAAATAGTGGCCTTAGGTCATTTATCTTGTATGATTAGCATTTCTGTCTTACTCCTAGGATGTGTGGAGAGGAATTACCTGGTTGCTTTATACCAAAGCAAATTTTAATTGGATGATGATATGAATGTTTCTTGCCAAGTTAACAAGTACTTAATACACTATAATAATTGCATGTCCAATGAACTAATATGTATTTATCACTTGATATTCACATTCAAATGCAAATGAGTATTTATAAAAGCTTAGTCTCAAACATCTTTAATAGTACATCTTAAAGTAAGAATATTCTTTCTGTTTCTGTTTAGTCATCCGTGACTCTTTGGAAGATCATGTTTCTGGAGTTGGGGTCAGGTGCCCCCTGGGCTACTTTCCATGTGGCAATATCACAAAGTGTTTGCCCCAACAGCTTCACTGTAACGGTGAGGATGACTGTGGGAATCGGGCCGATGAAGACAACTGTGGTACGTGGCTGAGACTTTTCTTTGTGTCTAGCACCTGCTATTACTGAAGCCCATGCACTGCTCACACTAAGTAGAGAGCTGCGGAGTGTTAGCTATAGGAAAGTCAAATATTTTTCAGAGAGTACAGCAGCTATTTGGTTTGGCTAACAAGACCACCCAACAAGCCCCTTTGCTAGGAAGGACCACGTTTTTGTTTTTGTATGGTATCAGTTTATCCAATTTTATCCCTACTTTGAACTTGTTTGCCTGTGTCATTTTGATGTGCACAAATGCATATACATGATCTAGCAAAGATCTCTGCTGAGGAGAGGTAGACATATGCACTAACAGAGTTTATATTATGCTTAATGTGACTTTTAAATCTGGCTGGGAAACATAATTTAGAAGAATTTTCAGGTTTTTTCTGAAATCTTTTATGCCCAAAATTGTGACTGTGTGAGCATGCTGTACAAGCTGTACTGCTACTAGGCTTTGGGGTTTGGAAATGTCAAAATCTGAGGGAATACACATCACCAGGCCACTGCTGCCTCCTGTTGCCACCTTTGTCACTTCTAGCCCTGTTGGATGGCTGCCGTGAATTTTACTTGGTTTAGACTTCATTCCTGGTGCAAACTGAGTAGGGCCAGAGCACAGGCTTTGCACTGGCACTTACCTGTCCACGCTGCTTATTTGTGAGCATGGCCCAGGCACAGCTTTAGTCTGTGCTGAGCAGCATTTCTCTCGCAGTGCCTGCACACAGCTTGGAGGGTGGCACAGACCTGGGAGAGTCTGGAAAGGCCTCTCTATACTTTCTGAGAAAAGAGCTTAGACTTTTGGTTGTGAGCTATGACCACAGAGAGACCACAGAGTCCTAGCACATTTTATTTACTGGTATTGTCAGCTTTCTAACAGCCTGGATAGTTTCAGAGCTACTCTCCAGAGCTGCTGATCCATAGCAGATGGGGAGACTAGACTTTCTTAGCAGCTTGCCTGTAGCTATGGAGGGCAGCCAGATGTGTGGCACACTGCTTCCAGCTCCTTGGAGCCAAGCAGGTGAATGGTCTGCCTGTCCAGACAGGTACAGTCATCAGAGCGGGGGAGGGGGAGGGGGAAAGAGGGGTGAAAAAAAAAAAAACCCAAAAAACAACCCTGAATCTACCAAAAGACATTTTCTGAAAGAAATCTCAAAGAAAATGTAGCAAAGGTATTTTTCACAAGCATTCCCAACAGAGTCCATGAGGTTTTGAAAATAGTTGTTCTCACTGTATATCTGTGGAGCTGATTTTTGTACCTATGTGTAGTATCTTATTCCTATCAAATTTCAGTGTTTTACTCCATATGCAAGTCAGCTTTAATTCTAATCCCATCTAATGGACCTGCAGCTTTTTCTAGTTTTATGTCATTTGCTAATGCCATAAACATACTTTCTGTTGACAGTAATCAAAAATCCTGAAGAAAACTGTCTCTTCTGTAATTATCTTGCCCTACAGTGGCCGAAATTGCTGATGGTGGTACTTTCCTATGTTTAAGAAGTCCAAGCACAGTGAAAAGTTGGTTTAAACATGTTTCATTTCTGTATAGTACCAGAAAGTCTATCGTGCAAGGACTTGCTGAAAGTGTACAGCTTGACCAAATGGCAATTAGGATATACAGAGTTTTGTAATGAGACAGACAATATAACCTGCAAGACAATTCAACTCTGATACTGAATCCTCTTCTGGGCATAGTAATTCAAGAATGAGTTAGCCTCAATTTCTGAAAGCCTAAACCACAAAAAGTGAGGAGCCATTGTATTGACTTGTGGGAAACCTATACTATTAGTGTTTTTCTCATATCTTGACTCCATATTCGCAATAAGAAATGCATGCCATGTGTAATGCATTGAGGTCATATTAAGCAGTAATGTTTTCTCAAAAACTGATGTTGCAGTCAAACTTTGTTGTTCAAATAAAGGAAGAATCCCTTCCTCGCCTGAGAATATGAATGTCCTGATGAGTTTTTCTGCAATGCACCTATACTGTAGTAAGTGTGGCAGTCTTTGTGGGCTAGTTCTGTTTTGTGGCCAGTCATCTTGCTTAAAATCCAGGACAGGAGCCCTCACTGATTAGCTACCAAGACAAAGAAACTGTCAGGCTGGTTTTTTGCTGCAGTTTCCCAGGACTACTTTAGTACCCGTGCCTTATGCTAGCAGTTATATTTGGTTCCTTCAACCAATTTTTTAAATTTACAACTAGTTTTCAGTGGAAGTCATTGCTCCTGGTTATAGAAAAGCAGCTAAAAATGAAATTATTCCAGTGTAGTAATTGTTTCATGCAGCACCATTGGAAATTTTAATCTTATCCACAAGGTACTCTAATTAAGTAGCTCAACTTTTAAATTCTTGTATGCTTTCATCTTGCATAAATTTGAATAAGAGCTTTCAGGTGGCCAGTCTACAACATTGAACCCAACAGGTGTGGGAAGGGAAAAAGTCAGTGAGTCAGACCCTCAAAGAAATTAATAAATACTTTAAAAAAAAAAAAATATGTAAGTATCTCAAACATATCTAGCTAAATCAACTGCTTCACTATCGATTTTTTCAGTAATGAAAAGCACTATCTTAAGCCTGCAGAAAAATCTTATAGTGAAGATCTGCACATATCTTATCTACATACCCGTAACATGAGGAAAAACAAAACAAAAATCTGTCATAGACAGTAGATCTTTCTGTCATGGAAAAGAAAATATTGATGAAGAAAAAGGGGAAGAAAAAAGAAAAAGAAAAAAACTTCTTTTGAAAGCCATAATACTGTTGTTTGAAAAAAACCAAAAAACAACAACAAAAAAACACAAACCACGTACTCTGAACACAAGAAAATCCGAAGTCCAGCCCCTGAGTGTGCTGAATATTAACAGCAACTGCAATTACTGAAATAGCAGTTTTGAGAAACATCAGTGAATGATGAATGAAACAAGAGGAGAAGCAACTAGCATAAAAAGCACATACAGATCTTCCAAGAGAGAGTTGCTTTGCAAAAACCTTTAAATACCTTTGAAGCAAAAAAGGCATGAGTGCAAAAGAGCTGAAGGTGATAGGAGCCTCTGAAAATACTAAAGCTAGTAATCCCAAGTATCTTGCAGCAATTCTGTCCCTTTCCTCTTTTAATGAATAAAGTTCCCTGCTTCATTCCTATAAAGATATTTATTGTTGCAATCTTTGAAATTTGCAACGTTAATTCTGTTTCATGCACTGTACACTCATAACAGTGAAACATGATTATAAATATTTGAAACTAAACTGAATCCTCATAGAGAGCTATCTGTTTTCAGATATGCTGTAATCACAGTTTACATCCAACCCAGGCATGTAAAGATTGGCTTTGTGGTGCCTTCTTCAACTCTACTTCCTCTTTTCCTTCCACCGCACTCTCCATGTCCAAATAATGAACATAAAACTAACACCAAGAAAAGTTAAATAACCTGAAATTAGGATTATAGGCAGAGTCAGGAAGAGGCTCTAGGTCTCAGACTGCCATTCTAGTCCTTAACCGCAGAGTGTGAAGGTCCTTTGGTCAGTTCAACTGCATCATTTCTGCCACTTCTGGGAAGGGTTGAATTGTAGCCAATATGTCACAGTAGAGTGAAGCCACCCATCTTTGAAAATTCATGGGACTTTGTCACCCAATTGGGTTTTCAAAACCAATAAAATACTGTGTGTGAGATCCTGATGGAGAAGAGCTTGAGGCAGTGTAGTAAACTGCAATAAGAGGAGGAGGCTAGCAATTTAAAATCATGCCCAAATTGATGGGAGGCTTGAACTATCACTAGAATTTTGAACTATCACTGGGTAACCTTAAGTGTGCATGGAAAATACAATCTTACCTTTTAAACTTGAAAACAGTCCATTAGGTAGAAGTGGGTGTCTCCACAAATTTGTCATAAATAAATTATTTTTAAATTAAAATTATTTATTTAAAATTTCATGATTTGTCATAAAAGTTTATGGTTTTGAGGACTTCCTTCTTTAGGCTTGAGTATGGCAGTAAAATTATTCTCTGCTATTCTGCCCAATGCTCATCTTTCTGAAGCACTGAGTACTTAAAAAGATCAAGTGCAATGTTAAACAGTTTAGCCTATATCACATGTTTCACTTGGAGTTATTCTGGTATCTGTTCACAAAACCCAGAATGTGTGGAAAAAAAATAATGCTATTCCAGCATCCTCCTGTGCCCAAGCTTGCTTAAAGCTCAAGTTGGCAAAGCAGAGGGAGTTTGATAGTGTTTTGTCCTACTGAGACTACGTTTGACTTCAAACATAATGGCTTCAGCCTATTTTTCCAGGGAAGAGCTTTTTCTACTTATTTACAGCTGTAAGATTTGATTTTGTAGCTACTTGATGTTTGTAGATGGGAGGTTAGAATATTTGTTTATTTCATTGCTTTTTTTAAACATGAGCAGGAAGGATAGATACTGGGCATAATGATGAATTCTGTTCACCTAATGCTATGGTAGTGTTGACGTGGGAATTGTTCCTAAAATGAGTAGAGTGTTTCTTACATCAAAGATGTTACTGCTGCAACATTACTGTTAATGTATTTCAAACAATCTTTAGGCAAAGTCCCTTGAAACCCAATGGCATAGTAAAAGTGCCAAGTACATATTCCCAAATACATTTTCATGGAAAGAAGCATTTTTTGGAATCTTTGCTCTGACAGTGATGCTTAATGATAAACAAAACAATATTAAAACTAACAACAGTAGATAAAAATGAGAGTTGGTTAATGCAAAACAAATAGAACAGTTTTTGTGATGTAGCTTTTCACTGAGTCCACATGTATTTTATTATCTTAAAGGGCATGTTGGTTTAGATGAACAAATTCTGACACATGACAAACTGCAAAAACATACAAAAAGTTAAATCACAACATAAATGTACTCTATAAATTTGGACAGAAGACAAATAATGTTGCCAGTAATTGTCTATGGGTTTTGTTTTTGCTTTTTTTTTCAAAATACCAACTCTCTGAGTAGCTTTAGGAAAGA